TTTAAGAAACGGCGTTCCTCCTCGGTCACTTGGCTCAGCAGGTGCTCGTCTCTTCAGGTGTTTATGTCGACGGGGAGGAGGAGGAGACACCTCAGTGTTGCACGCTAGCTTACCGCCATGTTAGCGACTGAAGTTGTTGACCGGGTGGGGGTTGGGATGTGCGTGAGAAGCGAAGCGTTACGTTTGTAGCATCTTAGCTAGCGCGTCTGTATTGGGCGCCGGTAGCTTCGCACGAATGTTGGAACAGTGTAGCTGTCACATGCACCAAGATCTGAAAAGTCCAGCTGATGGTGTCGTCCTGCTGCACCATTATATTCTACCATGTTGTTGCTAAATGTCTCTTTGTGTGCCCTTACTGCATGTTTTTTTTTTTTTTTTGTATTTTCTTGTTGGTTTGTTCTTTGATTTTTATTTTAACGAGTCAAATCGGTTCTTCTCATCCTTTTCATTGTTAACCCTGTGTTAACCTGCATATGACAAACAAACACAACTTGAACTTGGTGTTATCAAGAACACCTTGAAGGAGAACGATCGTGTTGGGGAGAAAGAAGCCAAGTAACAAGTTTCCTGGAAAGTAAAATTGGTCAAATCAGTGATGGGGAACGAATAGTGGAAAGGAAAACGATGAGAGCAGGAGATGGATGTTATTCCAAGTGGATTGTGAAGGAAAGGGGAATAAAAGTTATTACGGTAGGTTTGCACGTATGAAAAACAGACGGAAGAGTCTGATGTTCACTGAAGGTCGTTCCACAGTTTAGGAGCTGCCACGGCAAAATCACCGTCTCCTCTGAGCTCACACTTTGTCTTCGGCACACTCGGGAGCAGCTGATCACGTGACCAGAGGGATCGAGATGTGTAGGGATGTAGCAACTCGGACAGATGGGGCGGGGCAAGTCCATTTAGAGCTTTAAAAACAAATAAAATGATTTTAAACCTAAAGTGTACGGGCAGCCAGTGCAGGGAGGCTACAACAGGAGAATGTGGTCAAACTGGGGTGAGCCAGTTACAGGTCGTGCAGCAGCGTTCTGTCCCCTCTGAAGCTGAGATTCATTCAACCTTTTCTTTATACAGGTTAGTTTCACTGAGTTACTGATTCCTTTATAAAGTGTTACAGTATTCAGCCAAGTGGTCACAAAGGTGTGACAGTACGTTTATCTGCTACTTCACTCAACAAATCCAAGTGTAAATTCACACAAATGCATCAGAATTATCACATTTCTCCATCACAAACGACTCTTCCTTAGAAAGTGTCATCAGTGACCTGGGTTTGGTCACTTTGTCTGTTTCTGTAGCTAAAGAAACACAAGTTGGCAGCCTTTTGTAACATTACAATTTCTTTAAATCAGTCTCCATGATACTGAAATTAATACCTTTTTTTTAGAAAAATAAATAAAACGGTGACTTAATTTAAACACATTTAACAACCCTTTAGAAGAACTTGTACATTTAAAGATAAAAAGAATCAAAGGGCGTTCTTGCTCACAAACACTAAACTGAAGGCTACAGCGAGCTGCTGCTGAATCTTCAGTTTGCTGCCTGTTTCTTTACGGACTGGTCTGCACGGCCTTTTCTCAGAACTGTCGTGAAACAACCTTCAGTCTGTAAAAGAGATCGCTACCATCTGATCTGGTTTCATTTTTTCAGGAACATTAAAACAAAGTGTCCGTTTGTGTATAAATCTTGATGTTGTGATGGTTGCTCTTTGACAGGCAATGACGTTCAACCAGGTGATTCAGACGGGGCCTGATGAGGAGGGGGGCGATGACAAGGCTGTGACTGCTATGAGCATCCTCAACACCATCGACACGTTGCTAAGTGTGGTGGAGGACCACAAAGAGGTTAGAAGCAAGCTGCCCACACATGAACACACACACTCCATCTCTAAGCTGACCGCCCAGCTCGGTGCCACTTCATCTGCAGAAGCAGCTCTGGTCTGTTCAGGGTTCCTGCCAACACACTTACACCACCCACCAACTCCTGGGAACACACTCTGTTCTCACCATGTTCGAAATGACTCAGACTGAGGCAGGAGCTAGAAATAGTGCCGGCACCATTCCACCATGTCTGTTCATGCACTCCTGGTGCTTGAAGCCAACGAACCATCAACCATTAGGATTTCTGGTTGTGCCCAGTAGTTGAGAACACGGCTGAGAAGGTACATTTTGGTTCACAATAAGGCAGTTCTTTTTGTTTGACAAATACATTTAGTTTACTACATGAAACACAGGTATATTCCTCATTGTAGCTTCTAGCTAATTCCACTGTCCATAGTTATATGCTGGTGTTTGATTTATTTATTGATTTCAATACCGTATTTTCTGCCGTACACGTCGCATCAGTCCAAATATGTCTAATAAAATGGAAAAATCCTCAAAAAGTCTCTTCTATTATGCGTCACCGCTGACGTGTTGCATTTGTTATCCGTCACGGCTGACAACCCAGAAATGTGGGCCGGTGTTGTGCCTAAAATCGATTGGGATTGATTGAGCGCCATCTAGCGACTGAAAATGGTAGTGGTCAATATTTTCAGTCAGAATGAATGAAAACGATCATCTCAACCAAAAATTTGTTTATAAATACAAGAAAAAAATCCATAAATACATCGCTTTGGCGTATAAGTCGCAGGGCACGCAAATTATGCAAAAATCTGCGACTGATAGGCGGAAAAATACGTTTTTTTAAAAACATTTTGAGTAATTATAGAAGCACCATTGGCTTTTAAAAAGAAGAAATGTGACTACCTTTCAAGTGAATATTTGTCCTTTCCATTACTTTTTTGCTGCCATGTTTTAAAACTCTTATCTGAGCAGTGCACGGTGAATGAATTTCTATAAAAATCAGGCTACATTGTGCAAGTTCAGATGTTATTAATGGCTTCAAGTGTTGTAAATAAAACGTGAATCACACTATAAAGATGAAACTATAGTTTGATCTTGTGAACGTGCTGTGCATGTAGACAAATCTCCCATTACCTTTAACCCCTTGTTGCAGATCACTCAGCAGCTGGAGGGCATCTGTCTGCAGGTGATTGGCACCGTGCTGCAGCAACATGTCCTGGGTAAGCACAACCGGTTCTCCTCGTGCTTCCACATTCCACCTGCATTGCACATTAAAACTTTTCTGCCGGCCCGTTGACAATAAACTGATCGTGTTCACCTTCTCTTTTCCTTCCCAGAATTTTATGAGGAGATCCTGTCCTTGGCTCATAGCCTGACCTGCCAGCAGGTGTCACCACAAATGTGGCAGCTTCTTCCACTTGTGTATGAAGTCTTCCAGCAAGATGGGTTTGATTACTTCACAGGTATGCACGCTGAAATAAGATTAGCAATAAAATACAGTGTGTGTGTGTCGGTGAGACTGGAAGACATTCAAGAGCAGTTAGTAGCTCACGAAAGTTTGGAGACCACAAGAAAAGCTCGTCTGCCTCTGTTCATGTGGTGTTTCAGCCAAGGACTGCTTGTTTTGCAGATATGATGCCTCTCCTTCACAACTACGTCACAGTTGATACAGACACCCTCCTGTCTGACACCAAATACCTGGAGATTATCTACAGCATGTGCAAAAAGGTGAATGATGCGATGCACCTGTTCAGATTCTGTTAATCAACACGTACAAGGTGATTTACCTGGTTTTGTCACTTTCACAGATCCTGACGGGCGATCCAGGCGAGGACCCCGAGTGCCATGCAGCCAAGATGTTGGAGGTGATCATTCTGCAGTGCAAAGGTCGTGGCATTGATCAGGTCAGTCTTGCACCTCGCACAAGTAAATTACAAAGTTATAACTTAAAGTTGAACAAGAAGTACTTCTGGAGGAGCACGCTACAAGATGGCCGTGTAGGACTGCTGCTCCCGGCAATGGATCTAAAAAGCCCTTAAAGCTCACATGCAAACAGATTTGTCATAATATATTAAAAAAGGACAGGGCAATGTTGAAAGACTGGCAGGTTGGTCAAAAACAACGAAATAACACAAGGTTATTGATGAAGACTCCAAAGCTAATGAAGGTACATAGGCTAATGCTAACACTGCTAATGCTAGCATTGTGAAAGAAAATGGAAGGCAGCGAAGACGTCGACCTACGGGCTGTCTACAAAAAGAATAAATAATTTTAGAAAGGACAATATGCAACAACTAAAATGCATAAAAGAGGAGCTGAATAAGACCAACGCCAGGATTGAGGAGGTGGAGAGCCGAGTTCTGGATACAGAAGAGAGAGTGCAGTCAGCGGAAGATGATTTGACAGCGCTAATAAAACTCAACTCACAACTTGGTGACCAAGAGGGCCCCTCCAGACAAAATAATTTGAGGCTTTATGGTGCGACAGAAAGCCAGGGAGGAAAAAGAAGCCCTGTCAATTATTTATAGTATAATTATTTATATGATTTATTGGCCCCAATTCCCTTAATTTTGGGAAACAGAAATCGGCCGATACTTGCATAAGAAACCGTTTTTTTTTTATTTTTTTTTTGTGTGTTTTAACAAAAATTGTCTGAACTTCCATTTGAATTTCAGAGCACTACCTCATGGCCAGTTAAAACAAGTTTGTATTGTTTCTGGGATGATGTTCAAGAGTCTGTTTTCATCAAAATAATGAAAATTGAAGGTGCATTGTGACCTTGTAACACCTGACGGTGTCGCTTATAAAACAAAACCGGAATCAGCAGCTCGAACTTTTTCGTGATCGGTGATCGGCCAGAAAACTGCAATCGGTGCACCCCTACTGTCAATGATGAATTTTATTGAACGTTTGCTAAAAGTAAACCTCCAGCTCGCCCCGACATGAACCTCCAGATTGAACCTCCAGATTGAACAGGCACACGGTGCTTTAGCTGCTGCTCCACCAGGTGGCGCCCCACCACCATCCATCATTAACACGCTTCTTGCGCAAAAGGACTAAAGAAGAAGTCCTTAATAAAGCTCAGAAAACGAAAGGTTAAACGGGTTAATAGACCAAGACTACGCACCTAGTCTACTTGGGCAGAGACAAAAACACACCAAAGCTAAAAGACTATTGAAAGATAGTCATGGACGTGGACGCTGTTGAAGAAGCAACAAGAGATGAAGGGCCTTCCTGTCTCCGTCATCAAACCACCGGAGTGGTTTGAGAACACTGCGACACTGATGGAACAAATGAGATTAACGTGGACCACGACCGAGGGGAACCAGAGAGAACATCATCATCGACGCACACGAGAGGAGCAGGACAGTCCATCACAGACTTCAGCAAGAGAGAGAGTCAACTTAAAGCAAGAGTCAGTATGTGAACAATGACGTGGACACCCAATCCCCAGTTGCTCCCCGGGTGCTTGCATAACTGCCCACTGCTCCACCTGGGTGCATCCCAGGCGCGATGGGTTAAATTCTATTAGATATATAGATTTATTCTATTAGATGTTTTGGAATGGTCTCATGTAGGGATGCTAATAAGCTATTTGAAATTAATTGCGATCCAATTAATTAAATAATTACCAGTAAATCTGATTTGTCCAGACAGAGTCTCGTACCTTCTCTGGGCCTAATTAATAGAATCAGTAAAAATAATCGTCCACGTCCGCTGTGTCTATTTCAAACTTCCTGTCCAAGTCGAAACAATTTTCATGTAGAGATGAAGTGATCTCATGCTACATACGGCAAGAACGAAAACAACAATAAAATGCAAAACATTACAACTTTCAAAAAATATGGAAATGAGCTTTGCACGAATATTGTTGCCTTCGAGTTGTGCAACTTGTTCAAAAGATAAAGATAAAGAAACCAATCCTGCTTGTGTTAAAGTGAGTGCTCACCTTGCTGCTGCAGGTTGTGCCCTTGTTCGTGGGCACTGCGTTGGAGCGTTTGACACGGGAGGTGAAGACCAGCGAGCTGAGGACCATGTGCCTGCAGGTGGCCATCGCTGCACTTTATTACAGCCCCCCTCTGCTCCTCAACACCCTGGAGAACCTCCGCTTCCCCAACCACACCGAGCCCATCACGAATCACTTCATAACCCAGTGGCTTAAAGACGTCGACTGCTTCCTCGGGTGAGACGCAGCACAAAGTACAGTCTGGATTGTGCTCATTTGCAATAAAATGTAAAACTGAAGATGCAGTTGGTTTTCTCCTCCTCGGTCAATATTAAATTATGATGACTTGATACGTGCACAGAGCTGGTTATTTATTGACACGCTCTGTTGGTGACATCTAGTGGCACAGTTGCATACAACACCCACAGTTTTGTTTTTAACAGTTTTGACAGTTTGTAATAAATTTTATAAACGAACGTTGACGTTTACAGGCTTTTTAAAGTACATTTAATCAGACAGTCTTTAGAATTATCACTTGAATCACTTTGTGATTTATATTTTACTTTAATATTTCATACTGAACCGATCTTCAGCTAATTTCTTGTTGGGCCCCGCTCCCTCTCCAGCCTCCACGACAGGAAGATGTGCATTCTGGGACTCTGCGCCCTCATGGACCTGGAGCACAGGCCTCAGGCTGTTAACCAGGTGGGCAGCCAGCTTCTTCCAGCAGCCATTCTTCTGTTCAGCGGCCTCAAGCGGGCGTACGTCTGTCGAGCAGAGCACGAGAACGACGACGAAGACGACGACGAAGATGGGGAAGAGGAGGATGAAAACGGTAATTGTTGCGTCGGCCTCAGCCGGTGTCCTGCTTCCTTTTTTTTTTTAATCTTTATTTTTTAAATTCTTTCTTTCGTGCAGCTGAGCTGGGCAGTGATGAGGACGACATCGACGAAGAGGGTCAGGAGTACCTGGAGATGCTCGCGAAGCAGGCAGGAGAAGACGGAGACGACGACGACTGGGAGGAGGACGATGCTGAGGAGACGGCACTCGAAGGCTACACCACAACTGTAGACGATGAAGATAATTTAGTGGACGAGTATCAGATCTTTAAAGCCATACTACAAAGTAAGACATGATGGAAGGCTTGGGGTAACTGGTTTGTTTGGGAGTCGCTCATTTCATGCATTTGATGCAGATATTCAAACCCGCGACCCGGCATGGTACCAGGGCCTAACACAAGGCCTCGATGAGGAGCAGCGTAAACAGCTTCTGGACATCGGCACGCTCGCAGACCAGAGGCGAGCGGCACACGGTGAGCGCCGACTGAGACGAATGAAGCAGTGATGCTGCACTTAACGTTTTGACAATAAAAACTTTTCTACACGGCATTTTTTCTTCCTTTTTTTAAAATTCTGTCTCCTGGTACCACATATCATAAAATACACTCCGTTAGAGATTATAACCATATTAAAGGTGCTTTAACTCTTAAAGCCAGAGTAAAATTGTGAGTTTTGATGGTTGTTCTCAGCGTTTATCCCAAGTTAACTCCTTATTTTCCATATAATAAAATCCTAAAAGTATTAATAAAACTTATGAAAGTGTCTGTAGAGTAAAACACAGATTGATCGTCTGCAACCCACAGATCGACGCCTCTGTTCAGAACGGTGTCTAATTAATGAAGTTATAAAATCATGACTCCTTTAGTCGTGAATTCATTTAATTTGTGCATAAGTTTCATCAGCCTTTTATCTTTTTACTCACGTTTTATTAAATATAAAATATACTTTATGCAGAATATATTCCGTGTATTATCTAGGAATCTTTTTGTTTAAAATGACCTTAAAAAAAGAAACCATGTTTTTATCTTGCAGAATCCAAGATGATCGAGAAGCACGGCGGGTACAAGTTTGCGACGCCAGTGGTGCCGTCCACTTTCAATTTCGGCGGCACCGCTCCGGGAATGAATTGAGTCGTCTCTTCTACTTTTTTATTACTCTGTGACTGATTGTAGTGAAGTGAAAAACAAAAAGCTTGTGTTGTTCCCTTAAGTAGTGGTTCCAGAACTGGTTCTTCTGAGTCATTCTTCAATCTGTCAAATGGGAAATCGCTCCAGAAGATGCAGGAAAGCAACCGAAGTGCAACGGATGGCTCAGGAAAACAAACCAAGGACTTGAGCACGATGCAAGAAAAGAAGCCCTGAACAACGTTGTTGTCTGCCCTGCGTTTGTGTGTGGGTGGGTGGGGGGGGTCCCTCGACGGCAACTATTTCGTCTTTTCTTTCCAGTCAAACAAAAAGGGGGTGTAACAATTGATAATGGGACTAAATATATCATTATCACTAATGTGGCCAATTGGCCGTAATGAGATGTTGCCTCTAGTGGTGAAATCTGCATAAACTCCTGTTTATGTACATACAAGCCAAGGTTGTTATTTTTCAAGTAGCCTTGAAAAACAAGCCGAGGCTTTTGTAAGGTATCAGCAGCTGTATTCATATGTAGCATATTGGATAATTCATAGAACTATGTGATGCCTGATCTCTGTAAATTAATGACTAGCACTTTCCTATTGTTCAGGTCTTCTAGCCTTCTGTATCAGACTGCAATTTTTTTTTAATTGAAGACTATTTAAACTAATGGGGAAAACAGCTGTAACTTTGTTACTTTGCGATCGTTCCAGCTGGTTATCATGCATCTGGTGAAGAGTGGACCAGCTGCCGTTTGGAAAACCTCGATTTCAGGACAAGTGGATGCTCTTGGTGTTCAATATGACTACAGGACGAGTGCAAGCGCCTAAAGTAATCGGATACATCGTTGAAGCATGTACAATTCAACCTGTCGTGAAGGTCTCAAGCTTTTGGTTGGTGTATGGATGAACCATCTATATATACAACATATTAAAAAAAACAAAAGCTAAGGGAGTTCAAGGCTGCTTGTTTCCTTTAGTTCTTTATGGATTTAGTGTTTTGGTTTTTCCTTCCCACCAGTGGGCAGCAGCCCTTTAATTTTAAGAGAATGACACGTTTTAGAAATGTTACCAGATCTAATTTAAGGATTAATTATTCTGAAGCAAACCAAATTTTTAACTCGACATTTGTTATGCGATATAATCATAAAAAAGATGTTTGCTGAAGTCGGTACTCGGAGCTGAGATTTGAACTGATGAGTACGTGACACACGAGCAAATCAAAGAAATGCAGTTTTAATTTTTTAAGAGTCGCCTGACTGCATGTTCCTCAAGACTATGGATGCTGCTGGTGTGTCTTTGTGACATAGTGGGCTGACCCAATTTGCAGATTGGTGGTTTAACTCTTCAAAGTGGGGTGTGTTCCAGTTCCAGTTGCATCTCTCCAGTAAAGTATTCAAGGGTGCTGGAGATAAGAGTATGACCAATAATCAAATGTGATGTGGCTTCTGACCAGCTGTGCAACATTGGACCAACTCTTTACCCTCACTGCAAACTCTTGTGAGTTTTAAATTTGATGCTACGGCCTCCACAGCCGAGTTTGGTTTGCATTGCCGGCAGTAAATCAGACCACTTGAGTGGGGAGTCCACCAGGACTGGTTCTCACTGATCCAGTTTGCAGATGATGTTGGTCCTGTTGGTATCGTCGTGCCGTGATCTCCGGCTCTTGCAGAAGTGGCTGCAGTTGGAGTCAAGTGGCCGAGGAAAGGATCAGCACCTCCAAGCTCGAGGCCATGGTCCTCGGCTGGAAATGGGTGGACGTATCTGGGTTTAGTTTCAGAGAGAGGAGAAAAATAGCACTGGATTCACAGACGGATTAGTGCAGCTTGCACAGTACTGTATTGTGAATTCTGCCCGTCTGTTCGGTTGAATGAGCGAAGCTGTTTACCTGCAGGCCTACGTTACTACCTCACCTGGGGTCACAAACTGGGTTATTGATGGAAAGAACAGGATCACTGGGACAGAGTTTTCTGAAGTTCAGTTATGTGGCAGAGTAGAGCTGCTGCTCCACATCGAGAGGAACCAGTTGAGGTGGTTCGGGCACCTGCCTCGTGGACGTTTTTTGAGCATATCCAACTAGAAGAGAACCATGGGAAGACCCAGGACACTGGGAAGACTGGCTGACCTGGGGACACCTTGGAATCTTCCCAGAAGAGCTGGAAGAAGAAAGACGTGTCCCTGCACGCTGCTGTCCCCAACAAGTGTCAGAACCACAAGTTTCTTTTCAACGCTTTCAGCAAATGGTCAAAATACTGGTTTGCACTGCAAGAAATAATTTATGAGGTTCCAAAATACTTAATTAAAATCCGACTTGAACTTTGTAAAAAATTACAGAACTGAATAAATAAAGTAACGTGTTCACATTTCGGATTAAAATTGTCATGGGAGGTTTTCTAATGAAGAAGTGGAAGATTTCCAGGCACCTGCTATAATTCAGAACATAAAGGTTTAGTAACAGGTGTTAAGTTGAGCTAAATTTGAACTTAAAGACAGATTTATGTGAATCCTAATTAAATTAACCTTCACACTGCGTCTGGGAAGAATTACAGAAAAGTCCAAACCTAAAAGCTCAAATCTGCTTTAAAGAGAAACTTGTCTGATGGTCCTGAGGACTTTTAAATTTTTATTTATTTATTAAATCTATGAGGTATAAAAAGTCATATCAACATGCTTTAAAATAAAATGTTCCCAGGTTTGTCAAATGTTTCATGTTTTTATCTTCAGGGAAGTTTCTAACAAACGGTTGCAGAAAAAAGTTAAAAATAAGTTATTCCATGTTTCAAACCTAAAGTTTTAAATTTCAAGACTCCATGAAAAAACATCTGGTTCTTACCAGGTCTAAATAAAACTGCAGATGCCATTTGAACAAAATGAGACACAAAAATATAAAACCACTGACCTTTGACAAAGATTGCTAATAAATATGAACACGTGAGCAGCTCATTTTGTTTCAGTTGAATTAAGGTCTGAATCCCCCTGAGCTTTGAGCACGAAGTAAAAAACAAAAAGAGTCAGCAGCATCACGTGGTGGAGCTCCATCATCACTTCTCCTTCTGCGCCTCCAGCAGTCTCAAGCAGGACAAGAGGACAGACTGAGGGACAAAATGTGGCTCCGGGAGGAGCTGCTGAAGTCCATCTGGCACGCCTTCACAGCCCTGGACGTGGATCATCGTGGGAAAGTCTCCAAATCTCAGTTAAAGGTGCGTTTCTGCTCACATGATTGTTTTTCTTGTTCCCTTTCCGCCCCTGCAGGACAGAAACTTGATTTCTGTTGAAGACCACGTTCATTTTAAGTTCACCTCATGTGCAGCTACTCTGGTGCCCCCCCACCCACAGCTCACGGTGGATTTATCTGCAGTTTAAGATGATCTTATGATGCCTGTTTGTGGTTCGTGTAAATCTATTCAGCAGCAGAATTTTAAGGTGCTGCTGATGTTTTGCATCAGCAGCTGAAACTGAACCACAGGGGAGACCCCCCAGTTTGTGTCATGAAGTGTTGCTTGACTGGTGAAGCTTATCAGGGACAGAGCTCTCAGTTCAACCCAAACATACAGTTTGCACGCAGCCAACATGAATTCATACAACTGTGGTGATTTGAATGATTTATTTAAACATCCATCGAGTAAAAACAGGTACTGGATGCACAAGGCTCAAACATGTACATGCATTCACGTGTGTCTAACATCAAAATGGTAACTGGACTGTATTTATGGTATACACCACTTTTCTGTCTTATCCACACACTCAAAGCTCGTTACAACACAATCTGTGTCTCACCCATTCATACAGCGCTCTACCAGACTAATCAGAGCGTTATCACGTTCATGCACCGATGGGACACACATCGGAGGCAATGAGGGGTTCAGTGTCTTGCCCAGGGACACTTCAAGGATGTGACTGCTGGTGGAATCGAACCCCCAACTCTCTCACTTGAGGACAACTGCTCTAACCGCCACAGCCGCCTCGTCAAGACTATGAACTTTCTTTAGTGATCATGATTAACTGCAGCTGGTAGTTTCTTTTTGCTGCCGTGAAAGGGCTTTAACAGGAAGTACTGGACTGGACTGACTGGTTAAGATATTCAAGAGCAGCTCAGGCCTGCCATCAAATGGAAACCTGGGGTCCCTGTCCACGGGGAAGCCAGCTTCACATCGCCATGGACTGAGAGAAGAAATAACAGGTCCTGCTTCAGAAGTGGCGCCTTCAAGTCAGACTGAAGTCTCCTGGAGAAAGGTCCGATGGTCAGTCGAGTCGGGGGTCGGGTGAGGCTTTCAAACTTACCAAGTGCCAAACACGGTGGTGGTAGCATCATGCTGTGGGGCTGCTACACTGCACAGAGTGGATGGAACAAATGGAAGGAGGACAACCCAAGTCTTTACCTTGACTCAACAGCTGTACAGTTGAAGCGAACACAACAGATGTTCCAACAGGACGGTGACGTCAAACATCACATCTGGCTCCTGATTGGACAAATCAGGCCAAGCTTCTGGACAAGCCTTCACAAAGCCCCGGTCTAAGCTGTGTTAAAAAAAATATATAAAAAAATTGTGGTGTTTGCTTAAAACCAACCAAGTTAAACGAACTTAATGAAGGCAGTCGTTTACCTGCAGCTGTAAATCCTAACACGATTCTCCCGGAGTCCGCTTGAAACCACCTGCGGTCCTGTTCTGGTTCTGATTAACGCTCGTCTTCTGCAGGTGTTGTCCTACAACCTGTGCACCGTGATGAGGATCCCTCACGACCCCGGGACCTTTGAGGAGCATTTCAAAAATGATAACGAGGGGCCTCTATCCAACGAGGGCTACATGCCTTACCTGAACAGGTACATCCTGGACAAGGTGAGGACCAACAGGTTTTTAAATCAGAACAAACAAAAAAAAAACATGCTTCTGTTCACGTCTAATGTTTCTATCAATATTCATTAATAATCAATCATCTGAGACAAGTTAAGATCTAGTTTCAGAAACACTTCACTAACCTTCAGAGTCACAGAGTGTTTTAATGTAAAACTGATCTCAGAGCAGTTGGAGTAAGTTTTTAAAACGTAACTCCTTCAGTTTCTCACTTCCTCTGTGAGGCTGTTTTCTCTTTGCCTTTCACTTCTGAGCTCTGACTTGAATAAAGATGAGGTTTTGGATGACGTCACATTTGCACCTCACATCCTGCAGACCCAGGGTTTCTGAAAAGAGACAAACAAAGACCCCCCCCCAGCTTTGTGACTCAGTGTTTCTGATGGCAGGTGCGTGAGGATTTCGACGTGATGGAGTTCTCCAGGATGTGCTGGACGCTGTGCTACAAGAAAAACGTTCACTCTCAGCGTCTCATCATCTCGGACAACGACGCCTTCAAAGTCTGGTGCCTTTTCAACTTTCTGTCCGAAGACAAATACCCGCTCGTCATCGTCATTGAAGAGGTGAGGAAGAGTCTCACAGAGGCGCAGAAACAACAGTGATTAAAGTTAAAAGATAAAAATAAAACGTGTCCACGTGAGAGTTAGAAACAAAGTAAAAACTCACAAACGTTCCCTGTTTTCATGCCATGCCCTCACATTAAAGCTAGAAAACAAAATATCTTTAAAGAAATGCTCTGTCATTTTGCTGCTGTTTCTTTTTAAAATGTTTCAGTGAAATTAAAATTCTGGTTTTAACAAAGTTATCGTAATTTCCAGACTATAAGCCGCTATGCTTTAAACACTGCGGCTTATGCAATGTTGCGGCTAATTTGTGGATTTTTTTTTGTGACTCAATGAGACTACGTTTATAAATAAAGGTAAAAAATATATATTCATTCAACCTTTATTTATACAGGTTAGTCTCACAAGGACTCTTTTACAAGAGAGACCTGACGACAATATGAAGATAATGATCAATGACTTCCTGGTAGGCTACTGTAGTTTATTTTATTTTTACCAGTTGTGTTACTGACACTGTTCAGAAAAACAAACATTTACTGTAGTATTTGTGTATGTCAGCGCTACGTATTGTAGCATTCTGCTGCCGTGGACTGTCACATGGCCTCAGAGGGATTATGGGTAACATTTATGTTAATTGTTAATTATTGCAGTTAGCTGTTTAGCCTTGTTCTTTTAGTGATTAGTCTGTTCCTGTTAGTTCATGTGTTCATCATGTGTTCATCATGTGTTAGGCCATTCAGTAACCATGAGTGAGGGAGGTGGTTGCCATGACGACCTGTGGGCTTCACTCCGAGTGTTGAACAGTAAGATAAAGTTTATAAGACGCCATCTGGTGGTTGGTTCTTGTTCTACAACAAGATGCACATTTGTCAGTAGCCGTGTGCTGCCACGCTACAGTATTTAATTAAGTTTAAAAAAATCTTTCTGTGCAAATATCTCATGTTACAACATGGACACCTGTGGCTTATAGACAAGTGTGGTGTATATATGTACAAAATATACATATATTTTTTAGTGGGTGTGGCTTATATTCAGGTGTGCTCAATAGTCCGGAAATTACCGTAAGTCAAAACGGTAGTTGAAGTTTAAAAGCTTTCTTTACTTCCTGCTACAGGACTTGGTCATTCAAAAAATTATGTGTTTTTGAATCGAGTATTTGTGAAGCCCTTCATTAATTACAAGGTTTCCCAGCTCTGATGTGACAAGCTTGGCCCAAACCATGCCACTCACTCTGCTGTGCTTCACTGTTAGTTTTTTTGAATCCACACTAGTTTTCTTCCTAATGTTACTATTAATGTTCCTAATGAGACAAAAATATCACGACATTTTTGTCTCATTTGAACACCGTCTCCGTAGAAAGCACAGTGCAGCATTCAGACGGTGCATTTCTGTCAGAACAGGAACTTACTTTTAGTTCTTCTAGTACTAGAGACTTTAGGAAACACCGCGGAGATTCATGCAGATGTTTTGCTCTGTCTGTAATAAAATAAATAAACAGCTGGTTTATAATTAAACTTCTTTTATTTTCAAAGTATGCGTGTTCCTGTTCTTCCAGAGCCTTTAACTAGCTTGAGAAACCCAAGACTGACAAGCCGAAACTGAGCTTAGCCTTGTCTTTCGGCTGTTTCCTCTTCAGGGGTCTCTACAGCGAGTCGTTCTCCATCTCTGTCCTCACTCCAACTACCTCCATGTCCTCTCTAACTGCATCCAGATGTCTCCTCTTTGTCTTTTTCCTGCAGCTGCACTTCTAACATCCTTCTACCAATATACCCACTGTCCCTCCTCTGGACATGTCCAAACCACTGTCCCTCCTCTGGACATGTCCAAACCATCTCAGTGTGTCCTCTCTAACTATCTCCCAGTTGTTCAACCTGTGCTGGACCTCTGATGATCTCAGATAATGATAAGATGGATGTTCTAATCCAGGGGTGTCAAACCCACTTATAAAAAGGGGCCAAAATTAAAACCTTTTTCAAACTAAGGGCCGGTTTCAGAATCTGCATTAACTCAAGTTTGAAACCCAACATCTTTTCTTGATTGCAGGTTCCTCAAAAAGAGTTTGATTGGTCTCATTTGACATTTTCTCTTGGACTTTTGACATCATAATCAAAGATTACGGAAAAAAATTAAAGTAAAAAATGTATTTTACTTTTCACATATCATCTTGGGGGCCAGATAAGTCGTCAACGAGGGCCACATTTGGCCCCCGGGCCTTGAGTTTGACTATCCATCTAAATTGAGCTCCTGCTAACTTCCAACATTGTTAGCCAGACTTACTTTTATTAGAACTAAATTTAACCGTTTCCCTTTGAGTCAAATCAATAAGAATAAAAATCCAATAAAAAAAATGCATAATTCAGACAAGTGTTTCACAACGAAGAGAACGTAAAGTAAATGAAGTTAAGCGGGAATTTCTTTTAACATTTAGGTTCCAAATTAAGCTTTTTGTGTCCGTCCCATAAGGTGGAGTATTTGCTGCGAAGGCTGTCGGAGGCCACGGGGATCTGCTGGAGCGAGGAGAAGTTTTCAGATTACAAGCTGCACCAGAACACGAGGAGCTGCCTGACCGTCTGGGGGCTGATCGAGCTGGTGGGAGTGACCTACTTCAGCAAGGGCGTGGACCACCAGACTCTGTCCATGGGCATCAGCGAGGTGTTCTCAGAGCTCATTCTGGATCTCCTCAAGCAGGTTAGACAGGATGTGGATCTGATGCTGCGTGAGATTCTCCTTTTTGGAGATGTGACCTGTAACAGCAGGAATCAGATTTTATTCACCTGAGGTCGGTGTGAACCCTTAGTTTACCTCCAGCCTTGTTTTTAAAGGGTTACATGATGAAAAAAGGCCACAGGAGGAAGAACTGGACTGAGCGCTGGTTTGTTCTCCGACCCACCTCGCTGTCCTACTACATCTGTGAAGACCTGGTGGAGAAGAAGGGAGACATTGTTCTGGACCAGAGCTGCTGCGTGGAGGTAAACAGAGCAGCGGTTTATTCTGGTTCTCATTTTTAAATCATTTTCTCCGTTTACCAAACATATAACCTCATTTCCTGCAAGACTGTACAGAGTAGCAACAGTTTGGTAGCTCGGTGGTCAGTGCTGCGGTCTTGTAATCCTGAGGTTGCGGGTTCGAGCCCAGGCTGCATCAGGAAGGGCATCCGGCTGTTGCCAAACTTTCATGCGAGTTCGCTCGCTGTGGCAACCCCTGAAGAAGGAGCAGCTGAAAGAAAGTTTATTATTGAGTGCGACACGCCTCAAGAAGCTTTACTATTTTTATCTCTTCCAGTCTTTGGTGGATAAAGATGGAAAAAAATGTCTTTTTATTATCAAATGTGCCGACAAAAGCTTTGAGATCAGCGCATCGGACAAAAAGAAGAAGCAGGAATGGATTCAAGGTACTGAAGGAGTCCACGGCTCTGCAGCGCCCCGAGTTTGCTGAACGTCAATCAGCCTCTCTCTCTGTCTCATGGCAGCTGTACAGATGTGCATCCAGCTGCTGAGGTTGGGGCTGTCGTCTCCTCACCGCGAGGCGCGGCTGAGGCGCAGGGAGCTCCGGCAGAAGCAGCAGGTGGAGGAGGAAGACCTGGCGGAGGCGATGAGGAGGCTTCAGGCGGCCAATGAGAGAAAGCAGAGCGAGCTGGAGGACATGAGGCTGGTCTGTGCATCAACGCCACTCAGTCTCGTTTCACAGCTCGCAACAAAAACTCACGACTCAGCGTCTTTATCGTGGGCGCATCAGCAAAAAACGCTTTGGCCTTCGCATCATTTAAACACTATGATCCGTTCAGAATTACGCTACAACGTTAAAACAAGAGACGTTAAATACTCTGAGAGTTTGAAAGATGTTCACATTCTCTAGTCTAATCTGAGTTATCAGACAGTAGCGTGAGTTCAGGGGGTGTTGTCCAAATCTGCTTATTCTCAAATCCTGTGGTTTATTTCTGCAAAAACACACCGAGTGAAAAAGGAAGCAAAACTTTCCATGCAAACACTGTATCAGCCGGCAGCACCTGCTTCTAGACCACCAAGACGCAGATCAACTTATTTTCAAGCTGCAGCAGATTATTGTTCACTTTTCACTTCTCTTTTTAATCTGACCGCTGTTTTGTTTATCATTAGTAATCTGGGAGGTGTGGTTTTTTTTGGTCACTTTTTGCTGATGTGGTTTTACAGAGGCAAGCACAGAAAAACTAAATGATCTTTCTGAAGCTGTTTCTGTTTTGTTTGGACTTCCATCCAGGCTGAGCAGTGAAGAGCTCTGTCATCTCTTGTGCTCCACAGAAAATGGAAGAAGTTGCAGCCAAAGCAACACTGGAGGAGTTCAGGAGGAAGAAGACTCAGTCGGACCTGCAGGATCGCTACAGGTTGGACTTGGAGAGAGAAAAACTGGTAAAATAATTCTCTGCTCGGACAGAGACTCATAGTTTTTATTTTATTTTTTTTACAAATGTAGAAAGAAAACTGAGCTTAGTGATTTTACCACAACACACCATCCCATCCCGTTCTCAGCCCCTCCCTGATAAGTGAAAAACTGCAAAGTAGAAATAGTAGTACAAATAGTAAGTAGTAGTTTATTTTAGTATTCATATATATATAAGGTGTTTTAAACACTTCCCACACTCTCGCAGTTTTCTAAACAATGTTTCTAAACTCTGAACGCTCTAAAAGACACAGAGCGTCATGATTTCAGCTCCCTGTCACCTGCCAGTGCTCTTGGCCACGCCCACTCCTCCCCTGCAGAGCGGAGACATGACACGCTGCAGGAAGAAGCTTCTCCTGCAGCTGTGGGCTGCACACAGGCGCAGCAGGTGTTAAATAATTTAAAATATTTCAAATAATAATTCCATGCCGATCGTGCGGCTCATCCATCACGTGTCACGTCCAATCTTACTTTGAAAAACCGCGATAGAGCAACTCCACGAAAAACGAACCGCGAAGCAGCGAGGGACTGCTGTAGTTTCAAACGAGCAATAGAAGTCTGATTCCATAAAGAAGCATGTTGCAGTAATCAAGCCTAGATGTTATAAAAACATGTATTACTGTATCAAGATTTCTTTTGGACAGTATGAGCTTTGCCTCAACTGAAACAGCTGGATTTGACAATCGTCGGCATCAAAAATGAAAAGGGATGTAATGTTTGTGAAAAAGAACACCAGGTGGCAGCAGGTATAAAGAAAAATGAGGAGGTTCAAGAATGGAACCTTGTGGTACGCCCCACTAGAAAGCCACTGATGTGGAAATAAAAACCTTGATGTTAACACAAAAGCTGCTATCGAAGAGTTAGGACCTAAATAAAATACTGCTCTTCTGTGGAAAGAGGCCAAATAAATATTGAGCCCATGATGATGTGACTCATCTCTTGCCTGAGTTTGAGATGAACCGGCTGACTCTTGTGCCATGAAAACATTAACCACGTCCTCAAGCGAGACATCTCACCAACACAAACCCAAGTTAACATGGATGCACAGCTGACTCCCGATGGTTGGTCCAGTAGTGAGTGTGTGGTCGTCTTCAGGTGCGGCAGCAGATGGAGGAGCAGATGGCTCAGAAGACCAGTGAGCTGGATCAGTACCTGCAGAGGGTCCGAGAGCTCGAGGAGATGTACCACCGGCTGGAGGAGGCCTTGGAGGACGAGAAGCAGACCAAGCAGGACGAGGAGGCCATGAGAAAACTGCAGGCCAGGTGTGTTTACCACAACACAAACCAGTTTACCACAACGCAAACCAGTTTACCACAACACAAACCAGTTTACCACAACACAAACCAGTTTACCAGAGCTTTCAAACTGAATCGTTGTCCTTTTGAACTGACTAATGAAGCTAATAATTAGCTCAGAGTTGTAGTTTTACTCTGTTTGCCGTGTTTCTGCGTGTGAACGTGTACAACTACGCAATGAGCAAAACCAGATGCAAGTAAGAAAAAAATAAATTTACAAAAATATACAATTAATTAGCTTTTAAATCAACTCCACAGGTCTGAAAGAAAGAACAAGATCAAGAGACCAACAGGAACTGAACAAAAGATTTGACCAAAACCAGATTAGAACTAAACGAGGCAGAAAACTGATATAAAATCAATAATTTCCTCCAGTAGTAAATACAGGGCAGGTTTACAGGAGAGGTTATTGATACCAAAGAATTTTCAAAATATTTTGTATTAGTAAAAAACAAAACTGTGTCAGTATCTAGACTGACATCTTTGTAACCAAAGTAATATTTGCAGATGATCAGCTGGAATAAGTTTTTTTTATTATTATTTTTATTTAAACCTTTATTTTACCAGTAAAGAAATCCGCTGAGATTATTAATCTGTGTTAGAACGATGTCCTGGGCCCTGTGCAAACAAGCCATTACAAATACAGCAAGTCTCAAGTTATTAGTTAGTTTAACTCGTTACTCTGTACTCATGTAAGATTGGTTTAATCAAATAATTACATAAATGTCTATAGTGCCTTTATAAATCCTTATGATTGAAGACAGAATATTTTACCAGGTTGTTGAACACAGTTATAAATAAACACATTTATGTAATATATGCATTTATAAATAAAGGACGAATGAATTAAAGTTCTTCCATGACGCTCCCATTGGATTTGATTAACTTCTTTATTCTTTAGCCCCTTTTTTTTTTTAAAGGAGCTGTTTTTATCTTACAGTCCAGATCCAGATTGTAAACCTGGATTATTGAGCATGGACTTTGTTGATCCAGAAACTTGTTTTTACGTCAGTATGAGGAACAAGTTCCAGTATGAGGGAGTTAAAAACGTATCTTGGCATTTGTGCCGTTTGTCCATCCACGTTGGAGTTCAAAACCTTTCGCACGGTTTCTGCAGTTCTGACAAATGCTCTTTGTTCCTGCTTGGACGCGTTTGTAATTTGCTCTTATTTAACAGTTAATGGGTTTATAGAAACACACGTTTAAGTCTCGCCGCGCTCTCCCTGGCAGGCTGCTGGAGGAGGAGGCAGAGAAGAGGGCACAGCTGGAGCATCTGTACCTGCAGCAGCAGAGGACGCTGTCTGAGGCCGAGGCGGAGAAGGAGGAGCTGAGGGCCGAGCGTCTGGACAAGGAGAGAGACCTGCAGGCGGCAGCGCAGCAGCTGGAGAGACTGGAGAGGGAGCGGCAGGGCGCAGTGGAGCAGTATCAGGTCGGAGGCACGGTTATATGTCTGAATAAATACCGTATTTTTCAGCCTATAAATTGCGGGTTTTTTTTGTTGCATAATTTGCATACCCTGTGATTTATACATCGAAGCGACTTATGTTTTTTCCCATATTTTTAACTCAATTTTTGGCTGAGATAAAACCGTTTTCATTCATTCTGACTGAAAAAATTGAACACTACCATTTTCAGCCGCTAGATGGCACTTGAGTAGTATGGTATGCCGTTGTGTCATGTAATAGGCAAAAGTAGCTCCTTCGTCCAGCTCCCATCTTTGTCAAATCAGCTTCATTTCACTGCACCGCCCCGGCAAAATGCAGCTGATTTGACCGTTGAAGTGCATTTTTTAAAGGAAAGTTAGACTGAGACACACCTTTACTATAATGTGAAGAAAACAAATAATTGTTTTTAGGTGGTTATCTTCATAAATTTTGAAGAAATGCACAGCGAGTCGCCCTCTGCGCGTTGCTGTTTCTGCGCATCGGCTTTTGAAATGCAGCAGATTTGACTGTCACGGTGCATTTATTAAAGAAAAGTTAGACAGAGATGCACTTTTTGAGCAAACAATTGTTTTTAAGTGCTAATCTTGTTAAATTTTTGTTAAAGTCCTCCCGGGCATGCTTCCGCGACCGCCATTTGGCAGCCAATCGATTTTTGGCACACCGGCTCACATTTACGGGTTGTCAGCGGTGACGCGTAACAGACGCGACATATACGGTGAAGCAACGTATTTATGGATTTTTCCACTTTATTAGACATTTTTGGACTGATGCAAAGTGTATGGCAGAAAATACAGTAATTAAATAATAGTAAATAATTATCACTCTGTTCGTGCAATATCATTGAGTTTATCTTAATCTCTTTTCAAGTTTAAATATTGGATCTATTTGCATAAATTTCCCTAAGTTTCCACACAACGTAGTAAACGCAACGTCACAAGATAGAAGAGTCTAAAATACACGTTTCCTTCTCCTGTGTTGCAGGAGGTGTCGCGGAAGCTGCAGCGAGCGGCGAATAAAACCAAGACGTGGAAAGATAAAGTGGCCAAACATGAGGGTCTGGTGCGCCTCATCCAGCCAGGTAGGAGGACTGACGGCCTTTCTTCACGTTTTACTTTCTAATGTTACTGCCACGTGTTTGTTTTACAGTTTGTGCATCAATGGCGTGTGTTTTAGCAAATACTTTTTAATGATTTTAATGAAGATTGTCCCGCTGCACCGGCTCTCAGTGCTGCAGTAAATTCTACCTCTTCTTGGTTCAAACGTGCACTCTAACTCCTGTCACTGTGCTTTGAATAGGAAACAAAACTCCAAGTGTAAGTCATTTGTTGTTTTCATTGCGTTTAAAGAACTTGCGTCTGTTTTTGTTTAGGTCATAAAGTCCAGCAGAGGATCACTAACTGGGGCCCGGCGTCGTTCACTGACGCCGAGCTGGAGCTGAGGAAGAAATCGTGGCAGGAGAGTAAAAATCAGGGAGCTCAGGCTCAGTGACCTCCACAGATGGTTCAAGACGTCTTCTGCTGTGCTTCAGCTCAGTCCTGACACTCTTCATTAGGAGACAGCTTAAAACACGAGACGGTTCATTTGTTCACCGTGCAGTAAATAGGTTGGGAGATTCTGACTGTTGTAGTGAACCAGATAACCTCAAATCTACCAGATGGACAGAGACTGTTATTTTCATTGATCTGAATAAGTCTGAACCATCTGATGAACTTTCTTTCTTGAATTAATCAAGCAGAAAAGACAATTCTTTATAATCATTACTGTCTTACAAATGTTTTGATAATCAAATTGTGTTAGTTCACTCAATGCTTTACAGGTTGAAAAGAACTACTAATTTTTATTTTACATAAACAGTAAGTAATGATTTTTGTTCCTCATTCAAAGCAGAAATCACCTGAATATGCCTTTCTTGATCTTTCTGTCTGAAATGAGCAAGCTGTCGTAAGTATGTGAAAGGTTGGTCTTCGGTCAACTAAAATGTTTACTGAAGAAGAAATGTCATGTTTAAACTTTTTCAGAAGATTACTAAGAGTAGACTCCAAAAAGTCTGCTGCTTCTGCAATAATCTTTTCTGTATGTTAAACAAGTTTCATTCTCTGACCTCGACTGTTGATAAACACCTTACGTCAAAAACCACTCCTCTTTCTGGTCCTTCCACGAATCAGAAAGCTCTAAATTGAACAGGAAGTCGACCCAAATAAAATGTGGCAACTCCCCAGTTCAAGTTGATTGAGAGTCCAAGAGAACAGAGGATGGAGATTTTCAGAATTCCAAGGAAATGAGAGTTCAAAGATTGAGAATGCAGTCGGTTCTGAAAGCTTCAGAGCAATGAAGAATCCAGAGGTTTTTTGGGGATTATAATTCTGTTTTGAGCTAATCAACGCACGACTTTCTGAAGGTTTGGTAGCTCTCGACGGAGACGCTGAAACGAGTCAGAAAGGAACTACATCCAACGCTGATTCATCGTCAACAGGTAGATGGTTCTATTTTGACCAAGTGTACCGTGAGAAGCTGAGATCGGACGGAGCGTGCAACTTCTGGTTAAACAGATTAAATCTCCCTCACATATTCCTCTGTAAGATAAATCTCAATTTACTCTTAAACTCACCTCTCTCTCATAAAACAGTACAGATATTTTTAGAAATGTCTGAAGCAAAGTCCTCAAATCACCGCCGAGTGATTTGAAGTTCATTTTCTGTGAAACTGTCTGTTATTATTTTCATATTTTGCCAAATTAATGTAAATGTTTGATGTTAAACTTTGATTTTGAAAATAAATGATTCCATTCATTTGATGGGTCAAAGATAAATAACGTCTCTCGTTCACATTTCTGTTAAATTCAATGCACGGCATTTACAGTCAGAAAAATGAAGAACTCGTGAATATTGTATGCATATATAATTCATATATTTGTCATACAACAAGTGACACGTACCTCACGTGACTCACTACACTGTAACAAACATAAATGCATTTTCAAACTTACCGAGCTTCAAGATCATCGTTGATTTTATTTGAATTATCGTAAACAAACTAATTAGGTTTTACTTTACAAATGTAAAGTGTAAATGTATGCATCTGTTTGAAAAACAAAACATCACTTCGTCAAAGATTTGAAGAGTTTAGTCACTTTGGATGGAGATGGTTTCCAAACTAAATTCCTCCCCTGGTGAAATATATCAGAAAATGATTTTTGTTAAAAAAAAACATTTATTTATCTTTTATGAAACATTTAAAAAAAAACAGTTGTCGCTGCAAAAATCGTATTTATTGTGAGCTAGATGGAAAAGTTTCAGCTCGAATCCGTCTGCTAATTTTAAATGTTTACTTTCTTCAAAAGCCAAACTTTGGATGAGAAATTTTAACATTTTATTGATTGCCCCGGCCTAAATTACATTAAATTACATTAAATTACATTAAATTACAGTTCAGACCACAAATATCTGAACGAGTCACCTTGAAGCTTGAAGAAACATCCACGCTCCGATCAGAAAACATGAGCTTAAATGACAACAAACAAAACAACAATAAGGTTATTAAAAGAAAAGAAACGTACTAATCTAATAAATTCAAAACCAACTTTACTGTAAAATGCTGTTTGACAACTTTTCACTGCTTTCCTTGTGTTATGCTTTAATCTTCATGTTTGTATCATTTCAGTTTGCCTTAATCTGAAGCAGCTAATCCAATTAACGTTTCAATATCTTTTGCAGATTTTGCCCCAAAGTTGTGATTTTAATTTATGCTAATGAGTGATTTAAATAAGACTTTGGGAGAGCGAACGTTCAGTTTTTAGTCTGAAACTTTGTGCACGTCTTGCTGCTCCAGCAGAGGTCACCTGCAAACAGGATGAGCTTCAGACGGAGCGAGGCAGAAGCTGCCTGTTGGGCTGAAACCAGAGAAGAAACCACGCAGGGATGAACTTTCAGTTTGTTGCACCCTCCACTCTTTTCAGCTGACGGTTTTATTTTAAACCGGACAAGCATCAAATAACTCTTGGCTTTTTCAAGTTCACTTTAAAGTGCAGGTGAAGGTTTTCATTCCTTTAAATGTCCCCGACGTCCAGTAAAATGTGCTTCACTCATCTACACGTCTTTTACCATCAGTACACACACAAAGCAGATTATTTCTTATTTTTTTTATGGTTATAAAATCACATGAATGCCAAAAAACATATTTTAGTGGGAAAAAACACCGGGTTTTTTGTTTTGCATCTACTTTAAATCAGGTTTGACACAATTTAAATAAATTCAGTTTATTCGTATCAAGTCAATTCACAGCAGAAAACAAGTTCAAATCAAAAAGTCTATTCAAATCTCATTACAATAAATGTTATAACACATTCACATGCCGTACATTACAAAGTATCAATTAGCTCAAATGGTCTACTTCAACAGTCGTCACTTGGTGTTGGATCTTCATCACAGTCTTCCATCCTGAGCAGAACGTTGGTGACAGTGGGAAGGAATGACTCCCTTTTAACAGGAAGAAACCTCCAGCAGAACCAGAACCAGGATGAGCCTCCGTCTGCCTCGACCAGCTGGAGTTAGAGAGGACAGGAAGTAGAAACACACATGGAAGGACTGGTCCACGTGGAGTTTACTTTTTGTTTTATTCAACCTTCCTTTGAACAGGTTAGTCTCGGCGAGTCACGAGGACTCGTTTTCAAGAGGGACCTGCTTGGGAGCAGAAGCTGGGGGTTAAGTGCCTTGCTCAAGGGCCCAGCGTGGGGCAGTTGCAGGTTTATCACATGTCAACCTGCAGTCTGAGAGTGAAGGTTTTTTGTTATGAAAATAAAGAACAAGAGTTTTTGTTATTTGGAGTAAAGAACTGTTTTCCTTGTAACTCTCATCAGAGCTCTGGCAGCGGCGTTTCGGACCAGCTGAAGACTTTTTACACAGTTTTATATTTTTTTAATATACAGATCTGGTAACTCTAAATTGTCCCTAGGTGAGAGAGAGAGTGAATAGTTGTCTCATTTGTCTCTATGTGTCCCTGTGATGGACTGGAGATCTGTCCAGGTGTCCCCCGCCTCTTCCTCAGTGACTGCTGGATTTGGGCACCAGTGACCCCCGCGACCCAAAAAGGAAGAAGTGGGTAAAGGTGATGGATGCATGGATGATGATAAAGAATTATAGCAGTCCAGTATAGAAGAGATTAATGCATGAACCATTGTTTCTGCATCATTATGGGATGAAACTTGGGGCGGCTGTGGCTCAGTGGTTAGAGCAGTCGTCCTCCAGTGCAAGAGTTGGGGGTTCGACTCCACCAGCAGTCACATGTTGAAGTGTCCCTGCGCAAGACACTGAACCCCTCATTGCCTCTGATGTGTGTCCCATCAGTGTCTGTGATAAAGCTGATTATTCTCTGTGCAGATCTAGTATAGAGCTGTATGGACGGGTGAATGAGGCACAGATTGTTGTAAAGAGCTTTGAGCGTCTTGTTTAGACAGACACTAAAAGTACAGTCCATTTACATTTACAAGATGTTTCTAATTTAAGTAATATTGTGCAGGTCCACTTTATTTATAGAGCACTTAAAACAGCGACACGGCCAACCAAAGTGCTGCACAGCCAGAACAACAGGTAACACATACAACACCTCTAATGACATCTAGAGTTGGTGAAAATCCATAAAGGTTGTTCCTAAGATGCTCTTGTCCCAAACAATACAACCTCTGACTTGTTGAGTGAAAACTCTGAAAGGTTTGAGAAGTATCCGTCATCGCTTTAGTTCTGCCTCGTTTCGGTCCAAATGATTAATTGAGATTCCTCGAAAGGTAAAAGCTGAACTCGGTGTCAGGAAAGACTCGACACGCAGGAGGTTCTGATGTCAAAACACGTCCAGTTCAGCAACAACGGGCGTCTGTTCCCTCACGTACGCCTCACCCTCGTCTTCCTCGGTCACGTTTCACTTACAGGAACGCTGTAACTGGGTGCAACTGGGTGAAACCATGGGTGCTTGTTTTTGTCTCATGTCTGCCAGTCTGGCCTGCACAACCAGTCTCCACCTTCCAGTTGAAAACCTGCGTCACTCCGTTCTTCTTCAAGAGACGATGTGGAACCACAAGAGAAGAGGGTTCATGCTGAGTTTAGAGTTGAGAAGATAAGAACCTGCATTTTAAGAACCTGACACCATCCACCGATCTGCACCAGCGGGCTGCAGATCGGATCTGAAGCCAACCACAGATTTACTGTGATGAAAAGATTTTATGGAGCTCTTTGTCCGCTCGAGTTACAGCTCATCTGGAGCAAAAAGCTGTTTTTGTTGCAGGGTTTGTTAGGAATTTTGTCCTGCAGTTTGATAAACAGATTAGCTGTCCACATTTTCTTCTTTTAAGAGTTATTTATGTCCCAGAAGTCGATAAAAGATGGCCCCCTTTTTTCACTCCAAATAAACTATTCTCAGAATCGAGCGTCTCAAATCCGTAGCTAAGTTGCACAAGCCGTCCACATTCCAAATGTCTATCTGTGTCTCTCCTGCCTCAT